TGAAAAGTCAGATTTTATTGTATTTGCAGAGTATTAGCTTTGAAAATGAATAAAGAGAGCTGTTCGTAGTTTTAAAATGCCTTATTAGTATCAATTAGATATTTTCTCTATTTTTTGATGTACTTAGAGCTTTTTAAGTATAGACTTTAAAATGGCAGGACTTTTACAGTGTTTACATGCAAGTGCATTTTATAAGTGTCCTATATGTGTAAAATAGTATTTTGAACGGGAAAATGCTGGCTAAAGTAGCAGGCTGAGCGTTTTCCTGGTTCCCACGATGATGCCTACGTTGCTAGACTACAGTTTAGTATTGCTTTGTATCATGAGGCCAAGAAATTCCATGTTGTTTGTAAATAGAATAAATGAAAGGCAATAAAAAATTTATTGAACAAAAACCTTTTGTTTGGCCCATAGTTTGTTGAACCAAATTGTTTCTCTAAGTCTAGAATTCCTTAGATGACTCCATTCTTTTAACAACCAGTTATTAATAATCACATCCATCATTAATAGTTGCTTTTATGCTTGCACCTGGGAGGTACTAATGCTTAATAGCAGTCAGATACTGATGCTGTGCACTGACTGTTGTTCCAGAAATCTTCTACCCAGTTCCAAAACTGTTCATCGTTTTTTGTTTTCCAATTTCCTTCATCGACTGCTACTAACCATTAGTTGTTAGTTGTATTTTATCTCTATTTCTCCTGTTAACCGGTTTTGTGGGAGCGGGCTTCTCCTTCACGTGTCCAAATCATGATGGAGGGCTGTCATGATTTTATTGCATTCTGTAGATGGTGTCGATCAGTATGTCAGAATTAAACATGCTTGGTTTTGTTATTAGTTGTGATTAGTTTTCATGTTGTCATTAAGCCGTCACTAGCTGGAACTAATCTCTTCTCTATCTTTTCTTTCTTTTTTTTGTTTTGTTTTTTTTTGTTTCTAACCACCCAGCCGCCACCGGCAACTAACCTATGACCTTCTGACCTCTGAACTCTTCACCCAATGATGACCTGACCATGCCTGCCTGCTGATCAGTTAACTGGTAAACGCCTTTGCTTGCCTGTCTTCAGTGCAGCGAGCTGGGGCACTTGTCCGTTCGTCTTACCATCTAACAAAACAGACAGAGAAATTGTTGTCCTCCAACTCCGCTTTTTGTTGTTCTCCTGTTTGGGTGAAAGTGGTTCTAGAACCTGCACTGAATAGTAGTAAAGCAATAAGGTCCAACTCATCCCTCCGCACTGATCATCCTCTAGTGTCCCGCCCCAAGCGAACGGTAAGGAGGCCTCGCACGAGATGGAGACAGATGTCCCTTAACTACCCAATGACAGAGGCAGTTACTGTGAGAGACTTCTAGGAATATTTTTCTTCTCAAAAAAAAATAAAAAAAAAAAAGAAGTCAAAGCTCTCTCTGAATGTACTGTGTGATGATGCATCATGCATGAACCTTTGGTCAGGGATGTCATTGGGGAAGGGATTCCAAAAAGTATTCAAAATTTGATATGCTGTTTAGTCACTACCGGTGCCCTCAAAGGGCAGACATTGCAGCCTTTTTTTCTATTGCCTGCCAAATTGGACGTTTTAAAGGAAAGTGTGCCATGAAATGCAGATTACGATGACTTTTCAGAACTACGTTAATGCAGAGAACAAAACAGCAACACTATTAAAGCAAAATCTGAGTTTAAATTATTTTAACCATATTTTAATCTCCTCTGAAGATTACATGAGAACAAGGTACATGCATTATGTGTCACATTACTGGGCAAACTGTTCAAATATTTTTTTTAAACCTCCCTGTATAGAAAAAAATTCATTAAGGATGTAAAAGCCATGCTTGCCTATTTGCTGTATACATGTAATGAAATTGTAGATAAAGTGTAGTGCATTGAAACAAAATGAACAAAAAAGTAGATACTTTTACTATACAAGGGTGCTGGTGCAGAAAAAAAAATATATTTTTGGAAATGTAGCATTTTATACTTTCAAGTGTTATAAAAAAAGAAAAAAAGAACAAAGAAACCCTTTATTTCATTAAATGATTTTTTCTGGTGGTTGTCAAGAAACAAAAGACCAAAAGAGCCTTTTAGTCTTTCTTTTTTATTTTTTAAGTATTGGAATAAGTCTAAAGAAAAGGAAGTGCCTTATTTTCTTCATGGTCATTTAGTCAAATGTCTTGTATAATCAGCTTCTCCCTCAGACAAGTTACTGCATGCCACTCAGTCGCCCAGTATGTGAAAGAAGCTGTGAGGAAAGACAAATGATGAGTTGACCATATTAATTACCTGATTTTTGCCATACTAGTGTGATGTGACTTTGCCAAAATCTCATTACGTAAAATATTTGCTAAGTTTTTGTCAAACCAGCCCATCATTATTTCAACCACTCTACTTTTTAAATCATAGCAAATGCCGTACTTGTGCAATGTAAACCAAAGGGTTCTGTGATACAGACTGTCTCGTGCTAAATGAGACTATTAGCTGACAAATGTTTGTAGAGCTGGAAGTATGTCATTTTTGTTCAGGGATGGAGAGGAGTTTTCTTGATTTTGGTTGGAATAAATATACATGAAATATAGTAGGCTTCAGCATCACCCAGAAAACTGATGTTCTGTGGATAACAAAATTGAAAGTGCTTAGCTAGTTTTCAGTTATAGTCTGAGCGTGTCCCTGGTTTTCAGAAGCAGCTCCTGCAGTGGCAAACAGCATGCAAGTTATTTATTTTTCAGCTCTTCTTTGGCTATTGTTAGATCTGTCTGCTGGCTTTTCTTCTTAAGATAAGCGGGAGAGGGACAGCAGCTAATTGAAGTCCAGCTATACTTTATTTTTAACCTTTATTTCCACATGAGATTCATATAGCTGGGGAGTGGAAAGAGCTGAAGCTGTTGAACGCACGGTATTTTATTCTGAAAACATTAAGTATTACTTTGCGTGGGGCTCAGTACTAAACTTGGCAAATATCAGGTGATAACTTTATTCCCCTCTTGTCAACTTATTCTCCTCCTGCAAATCTTCACAGCTTCCAAATGAAAGGTCAATAGTAAGCTAAGAGGGCTTACATTTTTAAGCACCTGCATGGTGACCTCATCTAACATCTTGTCTCACCTGGAAATAATTATCAGTTTATTTACTATGCAATAGACATTCATCCTTTCGTATTCAGCTAGCTTTTTGTTTATTGTGCCACCGGCTTTGTCTTCCTGTTACACATACAGTTGTGTTGATTTTACTTACAGTATATGCTGTGCCATTTTGATTTTATTTTGGTTGGTTGGTTGAATAAACTTGCGACACTCGAACATTTGAAGAGAGATTTGCTAAAACAATACCAGTATTTGATCCAGTTTCATCTCAACTATGATAAAACCTGGACGTTTTAGATGTTTATCAAAGGTCTTTTACTGGGGGGGAGGGGAAGTGTATGAAATAGATGTGTGACATGTGAAAGTAATGTTTGCTCTGAACAAACTTCTGAAAACTTAGTTGACAAAATTTTGGATCAACTTAAAAAAAAAAAGCATGACTTTTGAAATCTCTGAATGCCTTGGTTCTCAGTATTATCATTCTTTAATGACTTTTTCTTTATTAAAATAAGTAGTTTTAAGATTTCTTTCTGACAGTATTATGTAATTTTTTTAGAGTGGGTAGATGGGAGTGTCGCTTGTATGTAACCGTACAGATGACATGTATTTGTCTATTCTTTATTATCTTAGTAGTTTCATGCTATGTATGTACCATAACCAACCTATTGCCTATGAGAAACATGTAAGATAATGTATTTACAGCCATTGTTACAAGTTTATAATGTATTTTTCTATCTTGTTTTATATGTATGTTATATAACATTCAAAAGAATTTTTTTCCTGATTGAGAAAAAAAAGGATACAAAATGCAAAACCCACAATTTTGATAACTGAAAAATTGCCAATTGTTTTGCAGTACTTTATTATATTGGGAGTGTTGTCTTTCTTGGGCTTTTAGTTAGCTACTGGATGAATACATTAGACATATTTGGGTTTTAGTTGGGTTTTTACATAGCTTGCATTTTAATTCTTTGGTTCTTTGCTGTTTCTATTAACCCATAGCATTATTTTAATAAATGTTATAATACCAACCTACTAACTCTGGACTATGTCTGTTTATTAACCATTACATGTTTAATTAAAACAAACAAACAAAGACGGAAGAATGTAAAGTCTTGAGTTACTGGACTAACCCTGAAGATCGTGACCACAGATAACACAACGTGACTTGTTTTTATGTTGTTTGTCGGCTGACATTCTGCACACTACTATTAAGTTGGCTTCGGTCATTCTGGCCTTTTACCTTGGGGAATAGGTGCCAGTAGAAATGGGAACAAAGTAGCATTTTTTGAGGCATTCTTCTTGTAGAGTCTTGCCACTTGCCTTTCAGCATCTGCATTACTAATTCCACACTTTCTTTTTCTTTCTCTAAAATAATTACTGTCGGCTCACAGCAAAAGAGCAAAGATGCCAGCGTATTGGTAAACCGTGATGGTGTACAGAAACCAGTTTGATTCTTTGTTGAACCATTCAGAGGTTGCAGTTAATCTCATAATAATTTGGGATTTGTTGGTTTTGGCACCTGATTCACTGTTGCATCATGTGATGTTTCTAAGCACAAAATACTTCTAGATAGAATTACCATACATCGAAATACAAAATCTGGGGGTTTTCTTTGCCAAAAGTGCCCTATTTTCTTCATGCCACATTATTTTTAAGTAACTTCTTTTTTTCTTTTTTTTGTACTTCTGCTATAGTCTACCAGTATTGCCCAGCTCAGGGGAGTACAATTTCTGTAAGCCAAAGGTCAAACTGGATCATTTCCTAGTGACTGCAGAAAGTACAAAAATACACCTTTCACTAAATTACCAAGCAACCGCCATTTCAGATTCCAGGGCTGCCTTTATGTGATCTTTGTCCCTGTGGATGACTGTAGCAACATGAATGCAGGGAATTGAAATGGTGAAAATGCTGTTTTGAATGTACATCTATGCAAATATTTTTACAGAAACGTTTCTTTTCCTTCAAGCTTCTGCTGTCTGAGGCTCCTTTACATATCCTGGGTCGTCCTCCTAGGTTTGTAATCTTAAGTGGACAGTAATTACAGGTCATCTCGAGGGAGATCCTCGATGTAGATCACTCTTCAGATATGAACAGTTTTTGTGAAAGCCGTTTTTTCCTGTAGATAGTAAAAATTCAGATGAGGAGTCTTTGCATCTGTTCAAATGCCTTCTTTAATTTATGATGTTTCAAACTACGTATCTTGAAATCCATGCAATATAAAACTTTTAATTTTAAAAAGTTCTCACAGTAATTAAAATAGAATGCATCTTTATTTTATGGAGAAAAAAAAGTCTAACTCTGATGATGATGTTTGTTAGGGTTTTTTTTATGGCATGTAGCTCTGTTTTACAAAAATGTATAGGTACAGCTGAAATATAACTGCATTTAGAGTAGTTTCACTTGTACAGAAATCTTAATTTAACAGATCATGAATATGTTACTATCCTAAAAGTCAGCCACAGGCAGATGATAAAAAAATCAGTCATTTACAACAGATAATATCAGGACCTTTTGATTGGATGATGGCACAAATGTAATTTCAGAGCCAATAATTTATATTCCTAGAGAATTTTGGCAGAGGCACACATTTAAACTTGGTGAAGTACTCTCTCCAGTTCAGGTGAAACTATTCAGATGGGACAAAAGATTAGTATTTTTTACTGAAGAATACTGCTATTCCCAGAACTACTGTCATACTTTGTCCGCAGTGCATTTTCATCTCATTCTTTGTTACATGCAGTAGTGAAAGTTGCTGTAAGTTTTGAAGTACTTTAAAGCTGGAAGACAGCAAAAAAAGGAAAACTCTAAAATCAAAATTTTATACTAATTATTGTTGTCCATCAAATGCATTTCTCAGTTTACCTAAGTGCCTGTCTAAAAATTTAACTATTTTATACTTTGCCTGCTTATAGGAAAGAAACAGACTATTTTTAGAACTGAATTTGAGGGTGGCTTCAATATTGCTACGTCACCAAAGCTAGGTTATTCTTTTTCTTTATTATTATTCTGGGGCTAAATTGTCCTAACATTTGAAAGATCATACATTCAAGTCAATTAGAGAGTTGCTGTTCCATCCAATAAAGGGATTTATCTCTTAGGGTAAATCTGTTTTTTTTTTTCTTTTTTTTTTTTTAGTAAACTAAACCATCATAGAGCCTTTCAAATTAAATCTGAGCAATACTATTCACTTCTTAAAAGTGAACTGTTGTACCAAAATACAACAAATTTGGTTTCTCTGAGAGGGTTTTTTTTTGTGTGTGTTATCAATCCAGAATATATTTCAGAAAGAGTCTTCACGGACATCTCTCAAATATTTTTAATGAACATATGTTCAGCGTATACTGACAATACTGATATTTTACTTGAACATATCTTTAAAAAGTACGTACAAAATCTGCATGTAATGAATGGTTTATTCCCAGATTGTACTCTTTGAGGGGGACCACTAAAAGGTTTTCTGCCCTGAAAATACAGGGAAATACTGAAATGTGTTGCCATCCATTAAGAAATTACTTTAACTTGGGCAAAACATGAGTATAGGAAACTTAATTCTTTCTGTCTAGGTAAAAATAGCGGGCATCATAAATAGCGCATTGTACAGAATGGAATCTTGAGGAACACATTCCTCGGGTTGAAAGTACATAATTGTTATTGGAATTTCTATTTTGTTTTTAATCTATTTGATATATTTTTCTAAAACACTATTAATGGAATACTGTCCAAGTAACACATGAACCATAACATTAACACATGGTAATCAATGTTGAATCAAACTGGTTAACACAAGTACAGTGCTCTTCCTTCTATGTGCCTGCGCACTAATTGCAGGTGGTGTGGTTCTGCATAGGAGGCGGGTGTTGGGCACAGCAGGTTGCAGTGCTAACTTCTTGGTGCCAGCAGTTCGGATGTCCGTCTTTGACCACAGACTAACTGGGAGGAATCTGACTCCCAAGGCAAAGATTTAACTGAGATCTGAAACTCTTGGAAGAATTAATTGAAAAAAAACAGCAACAACAAAAAAACATATATACATATATGCTTTGACTTGTATTATGGCAGTTTGTGTGAAACATTTAAGGTTTTGTTTGTGCAAAATAATGTATTCTGAGGGGAAAAACAAACATGGACATTGCCAAAACACGTGTAAATAAAACACCATTTATGACTGTACATGATGTGCAATAAAGTAACTGGAAAAAGTGCATGTACTTTATCCTCGAAAGCAAACTGACAGCTCTCAAAGCTGTAGCTATAGTTTTATTTTCTGAAACGTTAAATTTTATTCTGTATCTAAACAGCAGAATAAAGAATGTACATTTTTCACACTTCAATTTTCATTAATGCTTTTAGCAGTGTTATGAAAGATGTTAATTGTTGAAGAGGCTTAAATTTTCATGGTCATCTGATTACCAGGGTATTTTTTGCTTAACAGTTTATTACTGCATATGCTGCTGTTGTTGTCTGTAACTGTAAATGAAGAAAGTATGCATTACATGCCGTAAACATGCAGTACACATTTTGAATATAGATTTTTGGATGCACCGATTCTGTAAACTTCATAAAGATGACCAAGTGATTTTGACGTTATTGTACTTCTGTAAGCATCACTGTTACAATTGTTTAAAGCAAATAAGGCAAAGGAGTAGTACTTTGTAGTAAAGCTAACATACTGGTTTGGGGTGGGGGTTCTGGTCGCTGTGGAAAATGAAGATGATAAACCTGCCACCCTACCTAGTATGAATCTAGTGAGAAACACGTTTTGGAGAAGAAATAGATTATAGTGTTTTAATATTTTCATTAATATTTAGGTGATGAGACCTGCTTATAGTTTAAGACAATTTCTTTACCAAGGTATTCTTTGCTAAAAAGTCCTCCTACTTTACAGTGTTTACATAAAAAATGATTTGCTTCAGAAGGAGGTGTACAATAGGTAAGGTTAAATGTGGCGTCTTTAGGAGTCTGGTAGGTTAGGGGAGGGGAGGCTAAATACCAATGTTTAGGTACGCTTTCTGTCCTGCACCCTTCCAGGAGGAAGAAAAAATTGGCATAATTAGCATTCAAAGATACCTTCCATGAGGAGTCTCAACAAAGTGGTGGTTCAGTCATATCTGATGTAGCTTTGATCTCGGTAGTTCATAGAATGTTCAGCATGTGCCACTTCAAGGGGGTGAAGCAGCCCTCAGCATCTTTGCTGCTGCTCGGGATGCCAACGCAAGCACGCCTGTGCACTGCAGTCCTGGCTTGAAGTGTGGGCACAGTCTCACTTTCTGTGCTGTCTTTGGCTGCACTGTGCAAACCCCCTCCTTCATCCATCCCGACCCCTAGAAAACAGAATTGTGATGATCTTCCTTGTCTCTTGCACCAAGTCAGTAATATCTCTCTGTGATCACATTCATGCTAGGAATTGCATTTATTGGTCTACAAATTAAAGTTAGATGTGGAATTTAATGACTGGAAAATTTCTATCAACAAGCTTTACTACTGTTCTACCAACACTTTCTGCATAAGTGTTTTGGTA